ACCTTGCTGGAAATAGATTGAAATTGAGATCATCAATGAAACTCCATTATGATCAAGCTTTAAAAAAAGAAGAGAAGATAAGAGAAACTTGAGAATTAAAATAAAGATTGAGATGAGTGAATTTTAGAAATCAAGAAGAAAAACAGAAAGAATTGATAAGCCTGTTTGGGAGAAAATGAGAGAAAATGGAGAAAGTTAAGAGAAGTTACTAAAATATAAAATAAGAAGGAAATGAAAAGCACGTGAATGAAAACAAGCAAATGTAATTTATATTAAAAATGAATCTAGATAGGGTAAAAAGGGAAAATTAAAACATTTTAATTTAGAAGGAAAAACTCTAAACATAAGCCTTGGTGTAATTGCTTAATAGACTTTGGACAATGTGAAAATTTACAAAATGATCATCAAAATTATAATTTTCAATTCTTTCAATTCAGTCACCAAATCATTTAATTAAACTTCCATAATTAAAATTAATTATCTAAAATCACTTAAAACATTTCTAAAACATTTTTAAAATAAAAATATGAATTTTAGAACATTTTATTCATTTTTATCGAAAATCCAGAAATTAACCCGAAATTGACCCTAATTACTAGACCCGACTTTAGGACGTTACACTCGTTGCTCACGTAGATCCTCTCTTAGTTTCTCTTGAACACTAAGTAATCTACTTAAGAAATGGACACTCTCATGCCTCCTACAATCTTAAGTAATTAAGCACAATGTGCAAAAAAAATTGATAAACATAAAAAATAAATCATTCATTAAAACAAGTACTTAATCATCTATAAAAATCCACACCAACTAAGGTTTAGTTCATGGTGGGGTTTGAAATATCCAAGAGAATAAACCGTTCCATACAACCCAGGTAATTGAATGAAAATAAAGGTATAAGGGTGGAGAAACTCCCAACACGTGCTAATAGTTGCTCCTCGGACTACCACGAACAATACCTTAGCGTGCTAGCTACTCTCAGACATCTAGCTCGCCACTCCCTCGAGCATGACTATGGAGGAAACCGTTAAAAAGATGAAAAGAAGAAAAATAGAGAATAAATGAGTTCTTTGTTTTACCTTTTGTTGCCTCCCTCTTGTTCTCTTCTCTTGTATCTTATTTATAATCAGAAACAAAAGACTCCCCAACTTCCAAGAAGATCTTAAATTAAAATCTAACATCTAAGAGGCTATTAAATTCTCATCAATTCATAAACTCCTAAGAAGTTAATCAATTACCCAATAACTCTCTAACTCCCAAGCTCATAAATTCCATATCTCCTTAATACTGGGATATCCTTATCTCTTAAAAATGGTCTATTCCCTTCACATGTGTGGGTTGGACGGGCTAGTAGGTGAGATTCACGTGTGGGCTGGATAAAACCATAAAATATCTTCATATTTTTATCTTTTTCTAAATGTCATCCTATTTGTCATGGTATTTTTCTCATGCTTAGTCATCTCAAATAACCTTGGCAATTTTCCTTTTCTTGCCATCTAAAATGATGCACATTCATCTATGTTCACCCTTTTCTTCATTGACTTGAACATCAGCAGCAAAACACAAACCTTTCTCGTAAAATAGCATCGTTTACACAATAATATGCCACGACAAAGACAAATTACCAAATGCAGTTATATGCATCTAAATAACCCTACATACACCTTAAGATAACTAATAACTTAAGTGAAAATGCCCTAAATATAACCTTTTTACGGAGTTATCACACCCGTAAACTTATGCTATTTCTTATCCTCAAGAAATAGACAGTGGTTAACAATAGAAAAATGTCAAGGTAATGTTTAGTTTTAGGACAGTCAGGTGGTTTAGAGTTTCAGCCCTTAGAAATGTCTCAACATCAACAAGTTAGACAAGTGGAGATTTCAAAAATATTACCCTAGTACAAGGTCTTTTGTGAGAGAGTGTGCGTGACTATATCCAATCTATGCTTAGTCAAGTTAGAAAAATTCTAAAGAAAGTCTACTATTCTGTCGTAGCATGTTTTCAAGTTTAAGCACAAGTTCATCACTCCCATTTTCTTAACACTTAATTAATTTAATTTTTGTAACACTGTTATGAGGGGAGTCAGCTTGTCACAACTACCATTCCACAGTCTAGATGAATGTGAGCATACTTTCCATCCCCTAGCTAGTCAGAGTTACCCCGTGACTACTTTCATTCACTCGTATTCCTATGGCTACCATTTATTGAAATTCAATATCCAGGCAATGCCACAGAAAAAAGGAGTGCCTCTCTACAGTTATACTGAAGCATTTATTCGCAATTTACCACAATTCACAAACATAAGGGAGTTTAATTTAACAATTAATTTCATTCACATTAATACACACTAAGAATTCAAGCTTTAGTTATATAAAAAATGTATAAAATTCCTAAGCATAGAGAACATATAGTCGTGTAACAATTAAGAGCACAAACAACAAAGTTCTAAAACAAATCCTATCATGAAAATAACCTAATAGGAAAGTCGAAACGATTTTTTTTAAAAAGTGAGATTTTGAAAACACACCATTTTAATTATCTCTTTGTGATTAACTTTTTTAATTAAAAGTGAATTTGATATAGAATACCTCTCGTTTCGAAAAATTTGGGATTCCTTTTAAAATAAAAAAAATGTATGGTTCGAGGAGTCGCAACCAATCTTTGATTAGGGTGTGATTGGGAACCCAAAAATGTTTTGTTATTTTAAATAAAAACTAATTTTAATTAAAATAACAAATTGAGGTCTGCGTTACCAAAAAATGAGTTCGGGAGTCGGTTACGTGTAGGGAAGGATTGGCACCCCCACAGCGCCCTAAATCGGTACCTAATCGATTAATTAATGTCTTTGCAACGAAATTTACAAATTCGAGTTTAATTTGATCTATGATCCCAAAAAATGTGAATTTTATAACATTCTAATGCACCAAAATAGATTAAATTAAAATTACCATTAGAAAGATAAGAATATTCGATTGTTTAAAAATATCAAGACCAAATCGTAAGTGAGTTCTAACGACCTTTTCTCAAAAAATTTAAATAACTGAACATTTTTTCCTTTCATTCTCAAATTTTAAAGTGATGAATTAAAATTTTAGGTGTCACCGATGAGATACACTTTTAATTCACAATTAAAAGGGTATTACCATTAATCCAATTATGTAATTAAAGGTCGAGTTATGCACATGAGGATAACATACAAATTGTGCAAAAATGATGTCATGCAAAAATTAATTAAACAAGTATTTTGATTAAAATATCATACAATGTGACATATAAAAATTATACGCATATGTTTCTAAATTAAAAATTATAAACCAAGCATATTAACCTATAATGTACAAATGTGACTCAAATATAAAAAAATAAAAACATAACATGCTAAACTATAAATTTTAAAAATATATATATATACATATTAAAGAAATGACTAAATTTAAATATACGTAAAATTAAACATACTAATTAAAAATTAAAACAGATGCTTAAATAAAAAACAAGCATAAATATAAGGGGCTTAAACCTAAATAACTCAAAAATAATAATTAAAACCTAAATCTAGAAAATAACAAAATCAGGACAAACAAAAGGCTAAATTCGAAAACAGTATTGAAAGTGACTAAAGTGCAAAAAATGCTAAAACTATAAGGACCAAAGACCAAATTTTACCCTAAATTCTCGGTGGCTAAAAGTTAATTAACCCAAACTATTACAGTGACTAAATCCTAATTTAAACAAAAACTTTACTATATAACTTAACTAAAAAAACCTAAGTAATTTGTTAAAACAAAAGAGCACAGCCGCTCCTCACTTCCCTTCTCCATTATCCCCATCTTCTCTCTCGCTAAACCCACACAACCAAAACCCATAACCAAAAAACAGCAAAGACCCACGCTTCGATCACCTTATTTGGTGATTCAGTGAGACCAAGACCCGAGCCTAATAACCCTAAAGCATTCAAATAACTCCTCAGAATCCCAATTCGGTATTGACATCACCAAACATGCTCACAAATGGCCCATAGACCTCCTTAACCTCTCGGTTATTCACTCTCTCCAACGACCTTGGCCCCCTCTCGTGCTATGCTTAACTCTTCAACAATGGTGTGGTGCTCGAAATATTACGGTAAGCTTAAACCTTATTCATTTCTATTTTTTTGGAACCCCGATAGATGATAACCCAAGACCGAAAAAAATGTCATGCAAGGACTCGAACACCCACTTCCATTCTACCCAACTCTGGCAACGTTGACACCTCGGTAAAGGAACCCTAAAGTCTATGATTCATTTATTTCAACGACAAAGCTATACCCAAAGGTATCTATTTCTATTTTTATATTTTAGGATTTACATTTTGTTTGAAATTTATTAAAACAAATCATAAAGAAAAAGAAAAAAAAACAAATGTAAATAATAACAAAGGAAAACATTAAATGAATTGAATTTCTATTTGTACTGCTTTGGTTCGCTGAAAAGAGGGAATTTCTTTGTTTCCTTTGATCATCAAAGGGGAAAAAATACAGTACAATGTTTTTTTTTCTGTTTGTTACTACTTTCTGTAAAGAGAAACAATAGGGAACGTTTTTTTGCTTCTGCTCTCTGTTAATTCTTGATGTCTCTCAGCTAATTCCTTTTTTTTTCTTCCCCTGTGTATTCTCCCCCTTAAACTCCAGTGGTTAATTGTAAATTAAAAACCTCCTTTTATTTTTTTTCTTAACTGCTCAAATACCCCCCCCCCAATTTTCTCCATCTCCCGATGATAATGAACCCATTTTTCCCGTTTCTTAACTTTCCATAATTGCTTTTATTCTACAGGTAATCCTCACGTGGACTGCTCTGCTGGATCATTGGATTAGAACAATATATCCCCCAAACTTGAGGGGTGCATTGGCCTAGGAAAAGCATGGAAAATAATTAAAATAAATTAAGCACTAAAATAAAAATCAAAGAGCACGTGTTATTTATAGACAGAAGTAAAAGCAAAATATCGAGGCATTTTCAAACTCAGGCATCCTGCAAGTAAAGAGTTGGCTTGTCTCCCATTATGGGAGATCCAGTGTGTGGCTTCAAGCATTGGTCGTTTACTTTGAAAATTGTCCCATCATCCAGATTCTTGATGTCTACAGCTCTATGGGGATAGACTTGGTGCACCTCAAATGGTCTAGACCATCTTGACTTAAGCTTTCCTGGGAAAAGTTTCAATCTCGAGTTGTAGAGGAGCACTTTTTGACCAATATGAAAATGTCGTGGAAAAATGGTTTGATCATGCCACTTCTTAGTCTTTTCCTTGTAGAGCTTGGAATTTTCATAAGCATATGACCTAAACTCCTCCATATCATTGAGCTCCAATAATCTTCGTTCACCAGCTAATTGGGCATCAAAATGAAGCTTCTTGATGGCCCAATAGGCTTTGTGCTCCAACTCAATTAGGAGATGACACGCTTTGCCATACACCAACTTAAATGGGGACATCCCCAATGGAGTCTTGAATGCAATACGATAGGACCATAACACTTTATCAAGCTTTGGTGACTAACTATTCCTTTTGGGGTTTACCATCTTTTTCTAGAATCTGCTTGATCTCGCGATTGGAGATTTTAGCTTACCCATTGGTTTGGGTGTGATTTATCGTGGCAATTTTATGTCTCATCCCATACATGTGCAATGTCTTGACAATTAACTTGTTATCAAAGTGGGTACCTTCGTCACTGATGATAGCTCTAGGTGCACCAAATCTTATGAAGATGTACATATGAAGGAACTTAAGCACATTCTTGGAATCATTCCTTGGCATTGTGATTGCTTCAACCCACTTGGAAGCATAGTCCACTGCCAGTAAGATATATAAATCTCCAAAAGATGATGAGAAGGGTCCCATGAAATTAATGGCCTATACATCAAAAAGCTCTATCTCCAAGATATTTTTCAATGACATTTCATGTCGTCTGAAAATGTTTCATGTGCGTTGGAATCTATCGCAAGCCTTGTAAAATACATGGGCATCCTTGAAAAGAGTAAGCCAATAGAAGCCTAATTGAAGGACCTTTGATGCTGTCCTTGCACCTCCAAAATGGCCTCCACACGGACCTGTGTGACAATGATATAAAATCTCATTTTACTCATCTTTGGGGATACATATATGGATCATCTGGTCGACACGTCGCTTGAACAAGTATCGGTCATCCCAAAAATAAAATCATGTATCTTGCCTGAATTTATTCTTTCCTTGGATGTTCATGTCATAATAAAAAATACCAATAAGAAGAAAATTAACAATGTCAACATACCACATAATTATTGTGGCATATAAGATTTTCTCATCAGGGAATTTATCTTTAATGTCCAAATTGTCATAACATTCTGAATTATTCTCTAGCCTAGAAAGATGTTCAACAATTTGGTTCTTAGTACCTTTCCTATCAACAACCTCTAAGTCAAATTCTTATAGGAGTAGTATCCACCTAATAAGTCTAGGCTTAGCATAATTCTTATTCACTAAGTATTTGATTACTAAGTGATCAGTGTGAACAATGACTTTGGTGCCTATCAAGTATAACCTAAACTTATCAAATGCAAATATCACGTCAAGTAATTCTTTCTCAGTGGTATTATAGTTAAGTTGCGCCTTATTCAAAGTTTGACTTGCATAATATATAAAATGAAAGCGTTTATCTCATCGTCTCCCTAGCATTGGTCCCATGAAATAATGACTCGTGTCGCACCTCAGCTCAAATGGCAACGTCTAATTTGGGGGAACAACAATGGGTGCTTTGATAAGGCTTTGCTTCAGATCTGTGAATGCGTCGTGGCAAAATTTTTTGATCTCAAAAGATTGGTTTTGTTGCAGCAAGGTGCACAAGGGCTTGGAAATTTTAGAGAACTCCTTAATAAACCTCCTATAGAAACGATCGTATCCAAGAAAACTCCTAATGCCCTTGATTGTAGTTGGTGGAGGTAACTTCTCAATCACCTCAATTTTAGCTTTATCCACCTCAATACCCTTTTGTGAAATATTGTGTCCTAACACAATGCCTTCAATCACCATAAAGTGATAGTTTTCCCAATTAAAAACAAGGTTAGCCTTTACACAACACTTAAGAACCTTCTCAAAATTGCCAAGACATTTGTCGAAGCTATCTCCAAAGATAGAGAAACCATCCATGAATATTTCCAAAAAGTCTTTGACCATGTTAGAGAAATAGGATTTCATACATCATTGAAAATTTACAGGAGCATTGCATAGGCCAAAAGGCATCTTTCTAAAACCATAAGTTCTATAAGGATATGTTAATGTTGTTTTTTCTTGGTCCTCTAGTGCTATGACAATTTGGTTGTACCCTGAATATCCATCTAGAAAGCAATAATATGCCTTGTCCGCCAATCAATCAAGCATTTGATTAATGAAAGGTAGAGGAAAATGGTCCTTCTTGGTAGCCTTGTTGAGATTGCAGTAGTCCATGGAAATCCTCCATCCAGTGACAGTGCATGTAGGTAACAACTCATTGTCTTCATTACTCACCACTTTCGTGCCTTATTTATTAGGGACGCATTGCATCAGCCTCACCCATGAACTATTGGATATTGGGTATAAAACGCCAGCATCAAGCCACCTGATAATCTCTTTCATAACCATTTTTTTCATGACAGGGTTTAGCATTCTTTGTGACTATATAGAATTACCGTTACATTTTTCAGCAGAACTGTGTGCATGCAAATGGTCAGATTTATCCCCTTCAAGTATGCCATAGTCCAACCTAACGCTTTCTTATGATGTGAAAAAACAATTAGCAAACTCCATTCCTGGTCAGACTTAAAACTAGAAGAAATAATCACATGCAATATTTCATTCTCACCCAAATACGCACATTTAAGATGTTGTGGCAATGTTTTCAACTTCAAATTGGGTGTATGTTGTAGGGAGGGCTTAGGAATATTGAATTCATTGAAATCAAAAGGTTCAAAAAACATATCTGGTCTAGCTGAGAGTAAGCTAGACTGTTGTGCCTTCAATGGAAAGTCCTCGGCTTCCTCTTCCAAGAAATTTTCACACTCTTCCAGTTGTATGAAATTGTTGTGATAAAATTGTTCTGCTGCCCTTCTATCATTGAGTTCATTTCTAGAATGCTCTGGTATTGTTTAGAATCATCCACATACTTAAGAGAATGAGAGACATTCACAGTTACACTTTGATCGGCTACCCGCATAGTGAGTTCACCCTTCTTACAATGAATAAGAATGCAACCCGTGGCTAGGAAAGGTCTCCCCAAAATTATGGGTACATTAGAATCAACCTCACAATCAAGTATAAGGAATTAAGCTGGAAATATGAATTTTTCCACCCTCACTATGATATATTTGATCTTTCCTTCAAGATAAACATTGCAATAATCATCTAGTTGCAAAATAAAAGAAGTGGGTCTTGTATTTCCCATCCTAAGCTTTAAAAGTATTGACTTGGGCATCAAGTTCACACTCGATCCAAGATCACAAAAGGCTCTCCCAACGTAGTTGTCTCATATAGAACATGGAATGATAAAGTTGCCAAGATCTTTTCACTTTGGCGACAGCTTGCTCAAGACGGAGCAGAATTCTTTTGTCGTGGGTAATTGTCTCAAACTTTTTGAATTTTCTCTTCTTGGTGACAATTTCCTTGAGAAATTTAACATATTTTGGAATTTGATCAATGGTCTCCAAGAGTGGGATATTGATATAAAGCTTGTCAAGAATGTCAACAAACTTCTTGAATTGCACATCATCATTGTGCTTCTTCAACCTTCGAGGGAAGGGTGGTGGGGGCTTGACTTCTTATACTAATGGTGTGGGAACTACTTTTGTTATGTTATTTATGTTTGCCTCATCAATAGGTTCACTTGTTGAACCCTCATCATTATCCTTATCATCGATTATCTCTTTTGGCAATTTTGGTTCTAGTTGCACATTCACGGGGGTGGAATCATCGGTCATGCTTCTACCAAATTTTTCTTTTTGTTGATTTGGGTGCAACTCTCTTTACTGTCAATACACTACATTGATCCTTTCTATAAGGTTTAGTGACCTTAGTGTAACTTTATAGATGACCTCACTGACATTCTTGGAATTCTATGGCAATTTGATCAACCTGACTGTTCAAAGCTTGAGCGATGCGTTGTGGTTTTGCAATAATGTTCCTTAATTTTTTATAGTTGTAGTATAGTCCTTGTACTTGCTATATATTCTTGCATGGTGGTCTTCAGCGGGTTGGTATTTGATGAAGACGCTGCCCCTTGTTACAATTATGCACCGGCATATTTGATTGAAAACCATGGGGCTCGTTCATATGCTGATGCTGAGCTGGATTACTAGTACTAGTGGTGACTTGATTTCTCATGAAAGATTAGGATGCTGACGCCATCCTGAGTTGTACGTCTTGGAGTATGGATTGTTATTGTTGCTTAGATTGTAATTCCCCACGTAGTTGATGGATTCTTGATTTCCTAGGCATTCACTCTCGTGGTGATTGCCATGGCATAACAGACATATTGAACTAACCACCTTCACTTCCTTCACTTAATTGAAATGTTGCAAATTCTTCAACATGTTTGTAATAATGGATAGTTGGATGAAGATTGAATCCTTAGCATCTAGTTCCAATGTTCCTAGGGCACTCATCCCGATTCCAAGCCTTAAAGAAGGAAATTGGTAGTCATTGTTGGAAATCCTATCAAGAATGTTGAAAACCTCCTTAGGTGATTTATCTAGCAAAGTTTCATTTGCCATGGCATCTAACATCATCCTGGTAGGTGTATTGACTCCATTGTAAAACATCAGAACTTAAGTCCAATCTTGAAATCCATGATTAGTACATTTTTTAAGAAATCCCTTGTATCAGTCCCAACATTCATATATATACTCTTCATCAGCTTGAAAGAAAGATGATATGTCATTTCTCAATTGAGTGTGCATATTCGACGGATTATACCACAGTAAAAGGCTTTTACACAAATCAGTGTATGATTCCATCGAGCCAAATGAAATTTCAACCAATCCCTTACGCGGTCACGCAAAAAAATATGGAAATCATTTAAACTTTAACACATCTTCATGCACTCCTTCTTGTATAAATGAGTTGCAAACTTCCAAGAAAGCACGAATGTGTTACCTTGCATCTTCGTGAGGCATGCCAGTAAAGTCTCCTATCGAGTTCAACATATTGAACATCACTATTTTGAGCTTGATATGAGCTTCCTGAATCTTAGGTGCTACGATGCCTGAATTGAGATCATCCAAGATAAGAAATAAGTGATCTCGAATAACTCTAAGTTGGGGTACAATTCTTGCATTATAATTTGTCGCATCATTTGGATTGCTAGATCTTGCACCTGTTGAACTTCTTAGTTTTGATCATTGTCCATGCCTCTATTAGCAGGTTGAGCACGTTGTCTTTTACAGAAAAATGTCTGATTTATGGTACTAGAGGATAAAGAGGTCAACAGACCTTCTGAACATGCAATGACAAAGCTTGAAAAAGAAAAACAAAGAAAATAACAAGTAAAACTATACTAGAAATAAAGAAGTAAAATAAAAATGCTATAAAAAACTATTAAACTTGTAATTGGCAATCCCCAACAACGACACCAAAACTTGTTGCGTTCTGTGAGTATTAAAAATTAGATGCAAATTATGTGCAATTATACACAATCACACTAGTAATAAAGAGTAAGTGAGTATCGTTCCCACGAGGATTGGAGGAAATTACAAGTTAAGTTAAAGCACAAATATTAAATTATCTAAGTATAGTTAGTGTGGTGGTATGCACAAATGAGAATGACATGACAAAATGAAACGAATGTGCATGGTATTGTGGAAATGTGATTGTGAATTGTGATGGCAATGTAATAGTTTAGCATATGGAAATGTTGTGGCAAGTGGAGATGTTTTTGAAATGTAACAACTGAAAATGTCAAGGTAAAATGAGTTGAGAATTTGGAAATAAATCAGCAGACTTAATAATCCTTACACAAAAAGTTGTTGGGACCGTTAACGCAATTATGGCGTAACAGAAACAAAAACGTAACGGTCTCACCAGCGATCCAAGTACGTTAAATCCAAAACTGGGAGGAAGAGATGCGATTACTTACATTGGATTCCTTTAAAATCAGCAAATATAGCACCGACTAATGGAAATCACGAACAGTTTGAATCTTAGCCTCTACGAAAATTCGTCTCAGCCTCTACTTAGTTCACCCGGTTGAATAGCTGTTAAGAGTAAAACCTTTTCTAAAAGGATTCTAGGATTTTTGGGATTTTTCAAAAGACATAAATGACTACTAGACCAATATATCCCTTATATATGTGTCGCCCAAGCTATTAGGGTTTTTTTATTAAAAAAATTGAATTTAATTAGGAGTATAATTACTTTATTTATATTATCAAATATGGTATTCTTGTGCAATTAAATTACTCATATATATATATATATATAAACACACACATATATATATGTATATATATTAAATACACAATTCATTCATGTACAATCAAATTGTAAATATGTGAAACATTTATGAGTTGCTCTTTTTTCAATAATTGGGTGCAACCCTGTAGGTTCCTGTAACGTTAGTAGTAATAATTAGAACTATTCTAATATTTAAAACAATGAGTGACATATAGCAATATGTCATTATTACCTATGTTACGGGAAATTATGATTCGACATAACATGTCCATGACTAACTCTTTTAATGTATTATATGATTTTGTCCTTTATATCTAGAATAGGTACAAGTCTTGGAACAGTCACACTTGTGTAGCCCATCTATTATTTATTGATATTTAGAGTAGACTATAATAAATGAATAATTTGTGGTATATTGTATCAACTTATTCAAGCATGGCCATGCATTTCTAGTCTCACTCAATAAAGTGGCATGTGATATATTTCCTATTATGCATGAAGGACAAATCCTATCTCGATCATTCATACTCCGTTACATATATCGTGATATGTTCAATATAAGTCTTTATAGTGCAACCAGTTATGGAGCATGCTTAACTTTATCAAAACATACAACAAAATTTGTTGAGATTGTAATGATCTCAAGTCTAAGGATTATACATATAGTTTTCACTATGAGCAATATTGTGACCATCACATAATAATCCAAGACATATGCTCATAGCTGGTCAATCTAATATACTTTTCTCTGACAATATATTCATGTATTAATTTTGACATCTCTATGTCAATGACAACTCTTTGTCATCAATCAATACCATGTCAGTCTTAAGCGTATTATTATAGTCCATGCCCATAGTAATACCTGACTAAGGATCATTTAATAATAATCACATTATTATACATACATTATTATCTTTTAGATTATTCAATGCACATAAATACAATAAAAGAAAATAACAGTAATACCTTTATTTAATAAATACAGTAAATAAAATGTTTCAATACAATCATCATATGATTTGGGCTTTGGGCATACTCTAACAATCTTCCACTAGCACTAAGACCAATCACTCACATATTTAATATCGAGTGACTTAGTGTGACGATCATGCTTCTGTTATGACAGAGGCTTTGTCAAGGGATCAATAATATTGCCATCAGTGTGTATTCTGCATATCTCCACATCTTCTCGATCAATGATCTCTCAAATGAGATGGAAATGCCTAAGAATATGTTTGGATTGTTGATGAGATATGGGTTCCTTTGTTGTAAAATGGCTCCAATGTTATCTCAATGGAGTTCTACATCATCTGATATGCTAGAAACAACCCCTATATCATATATGAACTTCTTAAATCAAACAACCTCTTTTGCTACTTCAGTGGCTGCAATATACTTAGCCTCTATTGTAGAATTAGCTATTGTGTCTTGCTTTGAACTTTTCCAGCCCACAATACCTCTATTAAGACAAAACACAAAACTCGATTACGATCGTGATTCATCCTTGTCAGTTTGAAAGCTGGCATCAATATAACCTTTTACACTAAGCTCTTATTCACCTCCAAAGACAAGAAATGTATCCTTAGTTCTTCTCAAGTACATAAGGATATTTTTAATTACAACCTAGTGATTTTTACTAGGTTTCCCTGATACCAACTCGTCATGCTTAAAGTATACATGATATAATCAATAACCGAAGCATATGGAATCTTACTCATTCGTGGATTCTTCCATACTAAACCTTTTTAGCACTTTGTCTATATATGTACTTTGACTAAAACCTAGCAGTCATCTAGATCTATCTCTATAGATCTTAACTCCTAAGATGTACATTGCTTCACCAAATTTTTCATAGAAAAACAACTACTTAACCAAGTCTTAACAAAATGTAAAGTAGGAATATCATTTCTTATGATGAGTATGTCATATAAATACAAGATTAGGACATAAACAATGCTTCCACTATTCTTCTTATAAACAGAAGGTTCATCTTCATTTCTGATAAAATCGAATTCTTTGATTGAATCATTAAAACAAATATTCTAACTTCGAGAAGCTTGCTTTAGTCCATAAATTGAACTTTTTAGCTTTCAAACCTTTCCAACATTTCCTGAAGAGACAAAACTTCTAGTTGTGTCATATACTGATCCTCTTTGAGTTTTCCATTAAGGAAAGTAGTTTTGACGTTCATTTGTCATATTTCATAATCATGGAATACAACTATTGCTAGCAAAATTTGGATGGATTTAAACACACATATAAGAGAAAGAGTTTCATCATAGTCTACACCATGAACTTGTCAAAAACCTCTAGCGACTAATCGCCCCTTGTATGTATGTACATTACCATCCATGTCATTTTTTTCTTAAAACCCCATTTACATACTATAGGTTTGATCCCTTGAAGTGGTTCAACCAAAGTCTATACTTGGTTTACATACATGGAATCCATCTTAGGATATTCACAGTGGTTGTGTTCCTAAATATGTTGAATGTTCCTTAACAACTTGGAAAACATGTTCAACGTCATGTTCATCGATTTATTGTTCTTGAACTTCTCTAATTTCAACATATCTACCATTCCCTTTCTTTGAGAGAAATTTCTTTCGAGAAAGACTCTCGTTTGAAAAACAAACACTTTGTTCTCGTTAGAGTTAAAGAAATAATATCCCTTAGTTTCTTTAGGATATCCAACAAATATACACTTATGAGATTTAGGTTCAAGCTTTATAGACATTTGATGTTTGACATAAGCTTTACAACCCTAAATATTCATAAAATACATACTAGGATGCTTCCCAGTCCATATCTCATATGTTGTCTTTTGAACCGATTTAGATGGAACATGATTTAGTGTGAAAATAGTTGTTTCAAGCGCATGTCTCCAAAAAGAAGTCGGAAGATCACTATGACTTATCATTAATCGAACCATATCTAGCAAAGTTTGATTCCTCCTCTCAGAAACTCCATTCCATTGTGGTGTACCAGGTGGCTTAAGTTGTGAGACAATCCCATATTCTTTTAGGAGCTCATCAAACCTATGCTCAAGTATTTTCCACCTCGATCCTATCGAAGTGCCTTAATACTCTTTCCTAATTGATTTAAACTTCATTTTTAAACTCTTTGAACTTTTCAAGAGCTTCAAATTTATGGAGCATAAGATAAATATATCCATATCAACTAAAGTCATCAATAAATGTAATGAAGTATTGGAATCTACCTCTAGCTTATGTATTCATTCGCCTACATACATCACTATGTATTAATCCTAATAAATCACTTGCTCATTCACTTTTACTATTAAAGGGAATATTAGTCATTTTTCCTAATAAGTAAGATTCACATACATCCAATTGTTTGAAAACAAATAAATATAAGAATCCATCTTTATGAAGCTTTGATATGTGTTTCTCACTTATATGGCCTAAACAACAGTGCCAAAGATAAGTTTGATTTGAGTAATTTTTTTATCTTTTAGTATTTATATTATATATGGTATTTT